TGTGGCACTCTGTGACGCTTAAAAATTACAAATAGATGGCAGGATTTCCTCACTACAGAAGGTTTCTAGCTCTCTTTTTTAGCTGGAGAAACAGGGCAGAGAGATATGAAGGGATTTAGTCAGCCTTTCTTATGTCCCAGCACAGTAACTCTGTCCCTTTGCTCTTTTTTCCTAAATTTTGGCCTAAATTTTTAATTCCATTTGAAACACACAAATTCTTCTTCTGTTGGAGGATTTGGACTCAATAACGCAGAGCACTTTATTTGGGAAGGCTGCAGCATACCTCACCCACCTGTCTGATGAGCAGACACAAGCCTCCTGGTTTCCACTTCATCTGGACCTTTAAACGCTGCAAAGCACCAGGGTGCAACCGCAGACAGGAGTGAAAACAAAGCAGAATGTGCAATAGAATTATGTCAGGCTATTAAATCTACCAAGCGCACCCAGTAAAGTAGCTCCTTAAAAGTTTGGGGGTTTTTTGGTTTTCAGAATAAAATTGGACTAGAAGTAAAAAATAACGCACAAAAGTTTTTAAAATGTTTTTGCTGATCTATGTTATCGTATAGCTATAAATTGTATAGTGTGCCACATCCCAGCCGGCTGGGAAAGTCCCAGGAAAGGCATAGGAACCCTTGCCCTGCAGCACCCCATATTTCAAGCATTGAGCCATAAGCTGTATGATGTCAACTCCTCTCTTTTGCCTGCAGATTTCCGATCCAACTACCGAGCACCACCCATCAGATCCGTGGATGTTTACAACATCATGTGCAGCCTGGCAGGAATACAGCCACTGCCCAACAATGGCTCCTGGTCCAGGGTGGAGTGCATGCTCCGAAACACAGCTCCCTTGGCACCACTCCCCCCATGCAGCAGCTGTGCCCTGGCACTAGTTGTGCTCTCCCTGTTCGCCAAGCAGATCTCCTTACTGTGATCCCTGAACAATGTCAGTCAGTGTCACCAGCAACTCCATTCTTCTCTGATTTTTTTTTAAAGTTCTTCATTTGAATAATAGCTTCATTAATAGAGTGCTGTCCCCCACTCCTCCATTGTGCTCCACCAGGCGTGAATCTGACCCATCCTGCATTTACAGCCGTTGTAACGTGAACATGTTCCAAACAACATGCTCCAAACACAGCCAGGGAAGTTGGTGTTGTTTCTCTAGATTTACAGCTCTGGCAATGAGAGCAGAATCCTGGCTGGCTATCCACATTATTTTCTGGCGGGTGCACGTGGGGATCTCTGAGCATCAAACACATCTTACACAGCATCTTTCTCTGAGGGGCTCACCCTGGCTCCTGGTACTGAGAAGCTCAGGAGCAGAGACTGACATCTCTGCATTTAACTGCATTCATCCTTCTTCACTCCTTCATCTCCAGCTCCATCACCAGCAGGGCCCCATCTTCTAACAGTGCCAGCCAAGCCCTGTCTATACTGACCCATTCAAAGTGCCAAGAGCTTTGGTGAGTTACCATAATGCTAAGAGAGGTGGGCCAGCAGGAGAGCAGTGAGAGCATCCTATTTCTCTCAGCCTTTCCTTCTTCATTCTCCCCAGTGTGAGTCCTGGCCGTGCATAGAATCATAAAATCAGCCAGGTTGGAAGGGACCTCCGAGATCATCAAGTCCAACCCTTGATCCACTACCACTGTGGTTACCAGACCATGGCACTAAGTGCCACATCCAGTCTCATCTTAAAAACCTCCAGGGACGGAGAATCCACTACTTCCCTGGACAGCCCATTCCAATGTCTGACCACCCTCTCTGTAAAGAAATTCTTTCTAATATCTAACCTAAACCTCCCCTGGCACAACTTGAGACCATGCCCTCTTGTCTTGCTGATAGTTGCCTGGGAAAAGAGACCAACCCCCACCTGGCTACAACCTCCTTTCAGGGAATTCTAGAGAGTGATGAGGTCTCCCCTGAGCCTCCTCTTCTCCAGGCTGAGCAGTCCCAGCTCCCTCAGCCTCTCCTCATAGGACTTGTGCTTGAGTCCCTTCACCAGCCTAGTTGCCCTCCTCTGGACCTGCTCCAGGACCTCAATATCCTTCCTGAATATGCTTCCAAGGCCTGGCTTTCCTCATGGACCACAGCAGTGGGAAGGGCTGAGAAAGGGGAGAGCAACAGAAATCCTCCACCTCAAATAGTGGGAAAATGAAGAGGCATCTGGACATGCAAGGGTTGGGAGAAAATAGGATGAAGAAGCCTTGAATTTAACAGTCTCTTTGCTTTTCCTGGTGAAGATAATACGATCTGCTCAGGTTTTGGTGTTTTGTACTCAATTGCATTTCTGAAGGTTTTCTGAAACTTGCTGCTTTTCTACCAGCTCTTGCTCTCTACACCTCTGCCAGGTGACCAGCACATTCCTCTTTATTCTGCAGCAGGGAAAGAGGTCTACACTGATAGGTGTCCCACCCTCCCAGTTAATCCTAGCGATTATTTCCACCACAGGCTATCAAGCACAAACAAAGTTGTAACGGTAAAGTTAGATTAAATAGCAGGAGAGGATAGAGCTGTTGCCAGAGGTGCCTTTGGGAGTGCCCACTGCTTTATCTGATATACCTCTGGACTGGGAACTTTCAGCAACAAACTGCCTTTGGAAGGATTTAGGTCCCTCCCCATGTGGAACAAACCTCTAGGACTTACTACTCTTATGGATCCAGAGTCAGGCATGATCCAGGTATGTGTGATACAGCACATTTAAGAGTGAATGATTACACCATGGAAAAAAAAAAAAAACACCAAATTAAACTTCACAAAGACTTCTGTAATAGCTGTAGAGATTTATGTAATGTGTTTTTAAAGCTCAAGTGAACCATCAAATCAATTGGGAAAAAAAAAGGGAGAAAATCAGTCTTTGTTATTAGACTGTTGAGTATAAAAGACAGTTTAGTGCTTTCAAAACATTTGCAGTAGCTGTAAAACAAGCACCTATTGTTCAGAGTTCCCTGTTGCTCTTTAATGGACCATGCTCAATGAAATCACTGGAGCACATTTTTAAAGCAAGAAAAAAATTAAAAATCAGCATATCAGCATGCAAGATAACCAAATTACCAAGTTTTGTTTGAAAATCAACAGGCTAGATGCCATCAGTGCCTGCTAATCCCTCCATAGCCTGCCATTTTAACTCTTACCAGTGAACAGAACCCAAGGTCTTCTTACAGAAGAAAAGTTTCTAAAGGTATAAGGGTATATTCAGCTTCTCAGTTATACAAGCAGAAATTGGAAATAACAAATTGAGTCCATTGAGTTGTTCCACAGGTGGGCCATGACACATGAAACCAACATTGATCCTTGTGAGCACTTCGTGTAACTCATTTTTGTCAGTGTCCACATGCAAGTACTGAAGAGTAAATTTTCTAATTGCAATATGATTTGTTTGACCTTAATGCAAGCATTGTGTGTATGGTAAAAGATACTTGGTCTGCAAAAGGGAAATTGATAGTAGACCTCCAAGAAGCTCATTAGTTTCAGGAGAACTACAGCTCACTATTTTTTGAAAAGTGCATCTTTCTTCCTCAGAAATGTTGTACCTCTGAATCAGTTCACATTCTCATTCAAAAATCAAGTGTCTTATCTCTCACCTATTTTTCTGTATACTATGCAATGGAAGTGGGTGTATTTTAAAACCTATTTCTGAATGATGTTTTTATACAGTGACTGATTGTGAATGAGTGAATAATCCTAAGAATGGTGTTGGGAAAAAATGCATCTTTTTGTAAATACTGTAGGATTTTTGAAAAAAAAAACACAAAAAACCAAAAAAAACCACCCAAAACCTGCCCCATAACACCTTGCCTTTCTTGTCTTCGCTGCATCAAAGTGTGATAAACAGTGTTTGAAGCTTGTGCTGATTAATTATCAGAAAGATGAATGTAAACATTGTTTAGAAATGGCAAAGTTGTCAGCATGTAAATTAAGGACATTAAATACATCACATAAGATACTGTAGCTTGTATACACAGTCCTTTTTTCCAGATCTACTTCAGTATTTAATCTTTTGAACATCCATCCAGGGACATGAAATTCACACTAGCCAATGGACATGACAAAACATTTTGCTCTGCTAAGAAGAGGGGTGAGCCCTGGATGCTCCCTCCAGGCCCACTTCTCCAAGCCCGCTTTGTTACCATCACATCAGCCGCTTGCACAGAAATCAAGTGCATTGTCACTGGTTCAGGCTTTCCAGAGCCCCCACTTCCCAGTGGGGGATGGTGCAAATGGCAACAAGACCTTGAAAACCAACACTACGGGTCTCGAGGACAAGGGACCCTACCCACCCTTTAAGCTTCACAAAACAACAATGTTCAGTGAAGAGACTAATTTAATAGAAATAAGTCTCCAAACCTACTCAGTGGAATTTAGCTTGTTTTCCTTATGCTAACTGACCACAGGGGCGGGGAGTAGATGCTGAGGAGAATCAGTTCAGGTATGCCAAGGAGTCCTTTAATTCTCAGCAGGGCTCCCTTCAAACCAGCAGCGCTGCCAAAGTCTGCCAGAGATGCTCCCCTTGTGTTCCAGGAGCATGGGTCCTGTGAGCAGGAGGATGCTGAGGGATTGCCTGCACAGAGACAGCATGGGAATCAGCCTCAATCAGCTCCCTGTAACAGTGCCAAAAATGGCAATTTCACACCTAAATAAACTGAGCTGTTTTATCAGTGAGCTTGGTGGCCATGTAAATGGCATAGCTGGCCAAGACTCAGCAAGTGGGCCCTCCAGCATCCCTCAGGATGTAGCCCACATTGTCTGCACAGATTACAGCCTCATGGAGACTTTCCTGTTGCCCCAGACACGGGTCTGAGCCCTCCATAATTATGGGGACTTCACAACTAAGGAGTGAATGAAAAGATTTTGTGGTGTTGGTCACCTTACTTGTCTCCTAACAGCTAAGTCAAAACATCTGTCAGATGTTAAACCCCACACCTCAGGGGGAGATGCAGACCAAATGAGCTTTGGGCACTGGGAATTGAAAGACATTGGAAAAGCCCCTTTTGTAACATTTCCCCGCCTCATTTTCCCTGTGGGGCTGTGGAGAGAGGGCAGGCGACAGCAAATCCAATGAGAATTTTAAAAGAAAACATAGCCTAATGAAGGGAAAATTTTAAACCCTCCATTTTAGCATAAGGAGGCTTTAAGGGTTGTTCTGAAAGACAACTTTCACCTACATGGAAAAACATTTTTTCTTCAGGTATTGAAACACATTTAAGTTAAGGGAAGGTTATTGGAGAGTGCCCAAAAATAAGAACATTTCAGAGTTACAGTTGACTGGGCAGTGTAATTCTTAAACTTTATACAGATGTTTACAGCTCTATGGATTATTCTGATAACATTTCAAATACATGGAAGTTGCCATGGACTTGCAAACCAGTATGATGGTATCCCAAATCTGGCAGATCTGTATCAATGACACCAGTTCCAGTCTGCCAGGCCAATTTCATCTGGAAACCACCATGAGCTGCCAGCAGGCCTGTCCTGGTCTCTCCCTACCCCAGCCAGGCATCTGCCTGAAGGCTGCCCAGGATGCAGGGAATGCTTTGCTGCGGCCGCACCACTGCACCAAGGCCACTGCTACTGCCCTGGCTGGCCAGAACTTGCTACCTGTGGGGTCTGAAGATACACTCCAGGGTGGAAGACACCCACCAGCAGCAGCCCTGGAGCACCCGTATGTGCCCCATCAGCTTGGCAGGCTGGGGCAGGCTGGGGACAGGTGGCAGCGGGTGGGGGGAAAGGCCTGACAGGCCCTGGGAGTGGAGATCACGGATCCACAGAATGGGTCAGGTTGGAAGGGACCACAGTGGGTCATGTGGTCCAACCTCCCTGCTCAAGCAGGGTCATCCCAGAGCATGTGGCACAGGATTGTGTCCAGATCATTCTTGAACATCTCCAGTGAGGGAGACTCCATAACCTCTCTGGGCAACCTGTTCCAGTGCTCAGTTCCCTGCACAGTAAAGAAGTTCCTCCTCATGTTCA